ATGGGGCAGCCCCCGAGGAGATGCTGGGGGATCCCCCCCCACCCGCCCGGTTTCCCTCCGAGGCGCTGGTTCCGCGTGGGAGGGGTGGGAGGGGGTGTACAGGGAGTGGCCCCCGCGCTAAATCCGCGCTGGAAGTGTCTGGGGTGCCGTGGACATTCTCGGGGTTCCCCCTCTTCTCAAGGCTTAGCTTGTTCACTTTAACATTTTCAGCTTTCAGTCTCTTTATTACTTATGAAACAGAACGTATCCCGATTGGAGAAAAAAGAATCCACCCAAACTCCTTTTTTTAAACTCGTTTGCCGTCTCCAGGACACGCGGGTTCATGGCGTGGTGGGTGGAAGCGGGCTTCTTGCTTAGGAAATGAAAAAATGGGAAGGAGCCGTGTGGATTTTCTCTGTTGTTAATTGTGAAACGCCTTTCCACGGGCTCTTTGTTTTGCCGACAGCGTTGTCCCCCTGCTTAGACAAAGGCAGGGTTCCTAATGCACCTTTATTGATGTTTCGTTTAAAGAAAAAGAAAGAAAAGAACACAACCTTTTTCGTATTCGATACTTCAATATAATGATCCCCTTTGAATGCCTTGAGCAACCGAAATGCACTAAGTAAGAGAAATGCACTAGCACTGATAATTGCACAGGGACAAACAGAGCTGCTGGAGTACATCCCAAAGTAATTTCCAGACAGATTTGTTTGATTTGTTAGTTATTTCTGTTGGAAAATCTTGTAAGATGGTCGTGATGGCACCTGACCGTAAGAGAGCCCTTTCTCAGCTAGAATAGCTTGATGTTTGAAAGTGTCTGGTAGCACGTGCCTGACATCAAGCTAGAAGCAGGCCACTTCTGACGTGCGCTGGTGCTTGAGAATTCACTTGGCGACCATTTACGTAAGTTGGTCCCTGCCCATCTTCTTGGTCCCTTTCTCTAAATAAAAATAATAAATTAAAAAATGGGACAGAGCAGTGCACCTACCCAAATGTGGGGTATGGCTGGATGCTCTGAGAGGTGCAGCAGTTCCTCACATGGTGTCCACAAGTCCTGCCGCAGGATATTGCTGCCTTCCTTCCCTGAAAAGTCAGTGAGAAAAGAGGCATCGGATCATCTTGGATGCTGCCAAGGGAGCTCCCTAAAGGTTACCCCTGCTTCTCTCAGCCATGAGTGTGTCGGTGTGGTTTCAGGGGTAGATGTGGGCTGAAGAACTGCATTCTGATGTTGTCTACGCACGGTTTAAAATGAAGTTGGTAAAGGTGCTGTTTGGGTGGCCACCAGCACGTTGGGCAGAGAAACTCTCTTCCCACCCTTCTTGGTCACAGGGAGCGATGGTGGCCTTTTCTGACAAGTCGGGGTGTAACGTTGGGATAGTGAGGCAGAAATATTAAATGTGCTGTGAGGAAAGAAAGAGAAAGTCCTTCCTGTTTACAGGAAATGTTTCACTGTCATGGTGTGGAATATTTTTTTTCTGCATGCTGAGATGCCAGCAGCTGGGCAAATAATAAACTAGGTTTGGAAATAAGGAATATCAGTTGCCTTTATCTAATATGCATATAGAATGTGAATATTGCACGTAGTAACAGTAAAAATAATCATGGTTTGATGAATAAATAGGAATATTGTATTTTTACGTGTAGGGAAGAGCAAAGCTAGGTGAGGGTTTAGCAGTACATACACTTGCTGCAAACTTTGACAGAAAGCCCCAAATCCTCTTTTTTTGAGAGAAGCACGGGCACAAAGCTTGATTGGAAAGGATTAGGTCATGAAGCCTGGTGGCGTGCTGTTGCTTTTTTGCTTTCATGTGTGTGTCCAGATTTCTCTCAAAATAATCAGGTCCCTCTGCCCTTATGTTCTTATGGAGGGGCCTCTTGCTGAACCTGGCCATTCCAGCGGGCAGGAATGCTGTTTCCAGGCTGGAATCCCTCGTGGAGGCCTCGAGTTGCTGCTGTGTTTGCCGAGGGTGTTTGCACTGGTAAGGTATCTGCCTCTGCCTGTGCTCTCCTGTTCCATGTTCTCTTCTGAAGTGGAACTGTGCACGCCACCTTGGTGTTACATGCCGTGCAAAAGAAATGGGTCAAAATCTGCTTTTACGATGGTGTAAACTCTTGCTTCTCTCAGCTGGTGTAAAGTAAAGCCTGCGTGAGTGCAAATCCTTTGAGCTTTTTTTTTTTTTTTTTTTTTGGGAGGGTCTGGGGTTGGTAACCTGGGTGTGATTTGGTTTTTTTTCCCCCACTTTCTCCAAAACAAACTCAGTTTGTGTAAGATCGTACCTAGTAAGATAATGCTAAAAGAATACCTTCCTGGCAAGCAGGATGTAAATAATAATAATGTACACAACCTTTAAGATTTTTTTAAAAAAAGACAGTACTCTGTAGGAAATAAATCTATTTATTTAATGCCAAACACTCTGGCTTTTATTTTCTATTGAAGCTTATTATTATGTTAGCAAGGACACGCTTAATGAAATTACTGACAGGTACAGTTTTAAAAGAATAGAAGGATCTGCTACTAAATGCTATACATAGCCCTTGGAATTCACTGTTGCAATAGGCTATAGAATTACCTGCTTCAGTGATTAGATTTAAAAGCTGAGCTAGATGATAGTGTGATTAACATCCTTTGTAGGTTTGCATGCAGAGATGAGAATAATTACCCTTACTTCAGTCTTCGAAGCGCTGCAGAACCTGGGTAGTTTCTTCCACGTCTCCTGTATCACGTTGCTGGTGTTCACAAGTGGTACGTGAAGGAATCAAGAGACTTAGCTGCTCCTGAAGGTGTAGGTGTCCATGGGTGTAGGTTGCTGCTGTCCCCACAAGTTCACAATTTTTTTCCTAACTGGTGATAGTTATTAGTCAGGCGCCCAATTTGTCCTGTATTTTCAACACTGCAAGAGTTGGGGACCTCAAATCTCCTTCCCTAACCCACTTTCTAAAATAGGTTAGCCTTCGTCATATTACTACAGTCTAAATCTCATCAACGCCTCTAAATTAAACCACGAAGTAAGAACAGAAAGATGGAACACGTGCGAGTGTGCAGTAATAAAAGTCAAAAGTCCTGGGTTACAGTAGGGGGTGAGGTGGTGGCAGCAGGAGACACAACACCTGCTCCATCCATTGGGGACTTTGAAGCCAAGCTGCTGCTCCTGAGAGCTGTGGCACTGTGTCTCTCTTCTGTATGGAAAATTGTCTGTCTGGGCTGTAATGGGTTTTAGGCTCTTGTAATCTGTAAGTTGAAGGCAATGGCAAAATTCCCAGTTGCTTCAGTGAGGCCAGGATCTCCACCGGTCTCCTCACGCCGGTTGAGGATACGTAGGATCCGAAGTGCTGCCCAACAGCTAAGCTGAAACCAACACTTCTACTAGAAAATGTCTAAATGCGGAGTTAATACGTGATACATCTATTAGCAAGGAGATAAATTAGCTTAGACAATGACCTTTTCATTAACCTGAGTCTGTAATCCTTCGGGATGTTTCGTTATTATTTTGAATAGTGTTTTGTCACTGTAAGTGGAGTATTTTATCTTCTACTAGATGGGTTCAGCTATTACAACAGGGTTTTGGTGTTGCCCGCTGCGAATTATGTTGAAGAGGTGTGGGTGTCTTAGCTAAGTTCAAGTCCTGAACTTTTTGAATAAGTTTCCGTTCTCACTACTATTTCTCCAGCACGGAAAGAATGAGCAGAAACAAAACTAGAGGAAAATATCAACAGTCTTGTGGCATCCCTCCATGTAAATGTTCCATTGTTCACTGGACTGTCAGATGGATGCGTGCCCTGTTGCCTGGAACCGTAGTGTCTCAGTCAGAAGTCAGAAGAGGCCAAGAATGTTTTAAAGTCTATGGTACATGTGGAAACTGTGGTGCCTAAGGCTAGAGACCTACTTCTCATTTATTCCACGCTGAGATAATCTGAAAATTGTAGGTTTCTCCTGCTTGCAATTGTTGGGATTTGTCTCCGGACTGAAAATCGTAATACCTGACAGGGAGGGCTTAATTCCAAATTTGTTCTGGTTCTACAAATGATTTAACTCTGCTCCAGACACTTATAGCTACACGGTAATACGTGATAATAACTTTCTAGAAAGCACTAGTGGGTTTTCTGAGGCTTTTTTTTGTTTGAAGAAAAAAATAAAACCCCTTCTGACATAACAGCGCCTGTAAAAGGATAGGATAGCATGCTCTGCTTGAAGACTGGGAAGATCCCTTTTTTCTTAAAGAAAAAAGTGTTCTTGGGATAGAAGCAAATAGAAATTTCTTCTCCTTAAAAGGCAAAATTAAAATTAACAGCTGTTGCTTTTCAGCAAGCCAGTGCCACGCTGAGCGTAGGGTGGACTGCAGACCTTTGGCTGGGTGAAGCTAACTGTTCTTAGCAGGGGAACACTGACAAAGAACATCCTGGGGAAATTAAGTGTTGCAGGTATGAAAGAAAAAATGGATTAGAAATTGCTTTTAATCTAGTCCCTGTGTAAAGTTGCAGCATGGCTGGGATCAAGTGACAGGGGCAGTAGCCTCTGGAAGAATGCAGCCTAAAATGGGATGGGGGGAAGGCAGCAGATCTTAGCATGGGGGGCAGGAAGGGTTCCTCTCCCTCCCACCCTCCCGGGCTGGGTTCTGGTGTGGGACACTCTCATCCAGTGGGGAGATCTGCTCCTGAAATGATGGGACTCAAAGGCAGTTTATGGTGGGAAGCC